AAATTATATCAAATACGCCGAATGGTCAATTGATGTAAAACTATTCCCATTAGCATATAATTCACGATTAACAACAAATCTTTGACTGTCACTAGCCCTCAACTAACAGAATTTTTTTATTAGTTCCGAATATGTTATTCACATAGACAGTACTAACAAAAAAACTGATAGATTAATTGCTAGCGCACTAGCAAACATCAAAGCTTACGAATCATATTTGAACAAATTCAATCATTTTGCATTTACTTTTCACTTCCTTACATGCAATGCAAATGACCTATAATGTTCGTATGAAATCATGTTACGAATAAAAGTAACCTACACATACACATATTTTAAATTCATACAACATCACTACACAACTAACACACCAACACGTAACTCACAATATAGATTTATTTTCGTTAACTCAAAGTAAACTTCACCATACTTCTTAAATTTCACTTTCTGCATTAAGAACACTAATCTCCAAGGCATCCTTCGTAAGTATTATCACATTAGACAAATGTATATATTCTTCACGCTAACCAATTCTTTTCCCAATGATGTAGCTTGTCCACTAATTGTCCGCCAACAATATATACAGCCCATTGAAGTCATTATACTTGAATATACTTTCACCAGTAAATTAAACCACAAAACTTCTAACTTAGTTCAGAACACACGTCACGAGTTCTCACTTCAAACTGAAGAACTAAAGATCATCAGAGCGCCGGAGCTTCTCTGGCCTCTGCTGCAAACCAAAAACATCATCATCATGCCTGCGAAACTTATCGTATCATCAGACACAATTCGAAGTAGAGTCCCCCATGGAGTTTCCCTGATGACGAAGCTTCGTAAGTTTGGTTATTTTTATTTCAACTAACATATTTAAAAAAACACTCAACCTTCTTCAGGTATTTATCACTTTCCTTTTTTAGATTTCATCAATCATTAACCTAATAGAGCAAAATCCAAAAAAAAATAACAAACTGTTTTTCTTAAGTTTTTTAGATTTCTACTTAACAATGAAAAAAAACTAATAACCGCCCTAAATTTCAATAAAAAAGCAGTAAATTAATAGCTCTGCAGTAAAATTCAAACAATTAAGCAGGAAATTAAAAAAAAATTGTAAATGAAATACAGAAAACTAACCATTTTATGTGAAGCATATTACACCAACTCTCTTTAATAGTCTCTTTACTCGGCCACAATTCACAACTTCTTCCCACCAAACTCGCACAACTCGCCCACGTAGAGGTTTTTCATATCTGAATTTAAAGTTTCAAATTTTGTTCACGAGTTTCAATTAAATTTCCTTTAACCCTGGTGGAAGGAATCATAAGAGTTTGGTGGGAAGAAGTTTGGCTTAAAGTAACCAACGCAGATTGCTAACGCCACAATACCACAAAACCAACAGCTTGAATGAGAAAGTCCCGCGGTACTCAAACCGGATTAAACCAGATTAAAACTAGATAATCTTTTCTTTTGAAACCCACGTTCAATGTTTTATGAAAACAAATAAAAGACAAAAAAGTCAAAAAACAACCCAAAACAAAATAATCTACTTTTGAGAAAAGGAAACAACCCAAACAAAAAAGAAAAAAATATCTCATTAAATAAAACAAAAGGTTGAACACAAAGAGAGACTCTGCACAAAGAGACGGTAAAAATGTAACCCACTCTGGCCTCACCCACCAGAAGGATGCCGCTCGAAGTACATGCTCCCACTATGTGCTACGACCACGATCCTCTATTCTTGATAAGAGTGGCTCCAGGGTGAGCAACTCTCAACTCTCTAAAACAACCAAACTAAAAAAACGTTTTTGCGAAAACAACTGATAGAAAATCACAACTGAATTTGATCCTACTAACAAGTTGTAGATATATAAAGGCAATGTGAAAGATGTTTAGATGAAACGGAACAAACAGAAAAGGAAGATTAAAACTCGACGACTTTGGGATGGCAAATCTATTGGTTTGTTGCCGTTGTCACAAACCTCGCAGGATTTGAAGTATGGACTCATCATCGCAGCAAGGAACTCATTCAAGAAGAACGATGGCCAACTCGATGTTGATCTCCCATACCGATCCTAGTCAATTGGCACTTCACACGGAAAGGTCAAACTTCATCTTGCACGTAGTCTGGCTCTAAGTTTAAACGAAATCTACAAATCATTGCATAGATCTCGAATCTTGACACGATCACTCAAGACGACCCAAGATCAAACGAGACCCACTTCGAAAAGACGAAAAACTGCCCTTCTTCTTTCTACAACAACAGCCAACTACAACTCTCTTCCCTTCACGAAGTAAATGCTCAAACCTCTCAAAACAAAACTACTCCATACGTCCTTCACTACCATAAACAATTGAAAAATTAAAAACTCTTTAAGCCCCGGATTGGTGGAGCCAGTTCTAAACTAGTATTTATAACCAATTATATTATTGAAAAAACTATCTCTATAAAAATTAGTAATTAACCAATCATTTTCTATCATATCACTGACAATTGTTTGTAGAGCTGAAACTACTTGTAGTTTCAGCACCAGAACAATTTGAATCAATTTTAGAAGATAGTTGTTCTCCTTTTGAACAAGTTCCATAATCTAACTCGCAAATACCAGTATACACTAGATCTATTGTGACTTGGAGATATAAAAGGAAGATTAAGATTTGT